CCAGCCTCGACGGTACAGAAATCGAGGTGGCGAGGCAGGTGCTAAAGCTGCAGACACGGAAAGGCTCTCCTTGTGGCTGAGGCTGCCACGGCGTTAGCCTCCGTGGCAGGGAGAGAGATGGGTGTGAGGCAGCAGGTGCTGCTAAATAATGTTGTTCTGATAGTGGACGTGTACCGAATGCACTTTTGCCTGTGAAAAGTATTTCATCCGTGCTCCCTCCTCCTCTTACCTGCAGCAACGTGCCATCCATCAGACCTTGGCTGCTCATGGAACAAGTGGTGCCAGAGAGGGGAAATTCCACCTGTGTTCCCAACTCCTGATTACCCAGGGTCTCCTTCCTTAGATCGAGGCTGTGTGTCCTTGAGAGCCGTGCAGCTGGAAGATAAAACGCAGAGAAGGAGTTCTGTGCTGGGGTGACATTAATAATAAATGAGTGTTGATCCTAATTGAGTGGTATTTAAACACACGGAGCGGAGGCAGCAGTCTGCTGGGACCGGCTCGTGTTGTCGAACCGCTTCTCCCTTGCTGATGCTGCTCCCGAGCGACCGCCTTGGGGAGGGAGAGCGAAGCTGGATTGCAGGTGGTGTCCGTGACAGGTGATGACCAAGTGTAAGGAGGAACACGAGCCTCCCTTTCTCAAATCCTTCCGTAGAAAGATCTTGTGTGCTGAGCAGCGGTGCTCACACAGACATCCTCTGGATGATGCTCCGGTAAACCTCTGACCTGAGAGCAAGGCAGAATTTAATAATTTATTTAATAATTTTATTGTCCTGCAATGGACTCTCAGCTCCCAGAATAAAAGCGAGAGATCAGCTGCTTCTGTTTCTTGAAAGCTGTTTTTCTGGAAAGCTGCTTAAACTCTTTGAGCATCCCAACATAGATAGATAAATAAAATTGAAAAAAAAAAAAAGCTGCGGTAGCAACATCTTTTATTTAAGAATTGTCAAATGGCTGAAGAAATTAGTTGTAAAACAGGGAAAAACATGGCACACAGCTTTCCAAGTTAGCCATGGCAGCCAAACGTGTAAATTGTGCTTTTAGGCATCAGAAGCTCCGTTGCGGTGAGCGTGACTCATATGATTCCTCTTTCAAATGGTCCGAGCCCATTAACTTGAAATACGGTCGCGCTCTGAACGACTGTATCTCTGGCAATTGTTATAAATCGCTTTCTGTCACAAGATTTGGTTAGAAATGGGGAATAAAATCCGGAGGTTTGCAGAGCAGTGGGCTTTGTTGTAAAAGCCGTGCTGAATTCTTCCCCGTTGGAGCGGCGCTGGCCATGCCCACCCCAGCTCGGTGGCAGATGGGATGGGTATCGATCCCCAGCATCCGCTGACGGTAACCTTTGAGGGGACAGGCGATGTATGGCCGTGGAGTTTTATCTATCAATATCTGGGTAATAGAAAGACAAGCGTGACATCTAATCCCAGTGCAGGTGACAGATCATAAATCCGAGCGGAGGTGGGTACTGGCGATGGCAGGAACGCCGGGGAGGGGGCGCGGTGGCGCTGCCGGACACTGGGAAGCCAGGAGATGGTCCAGGCTGGAAATCCTTTTGGGTGAAAGTGCAGAGGTTTTTATTCCTACCATCAAAAGAAGGATGTTCATTTCATTAGGTGGGATGCAGGCTGACAGGTTGTTCATGCCGAGCGATGGACCCCGCGCGGGCGCAGCCCCCGTCAGTGTTTGGGAACACGCGGGCTGCGTCCCTTGAGCAGCATTTCACAGCAGTTTTCTCTCTTTGTACCGTTTCGGTTACAAAGCAGGAGAAAGAATTCCCCAGTGCCATTTCATCAGGCAGGAATTCTGGTGTCAGCTCGGAGCTATTGTCATCTTTTAGTCTTACTCTTTAAGCAATCTCAGCCGGTGGCTAGAGCGGTGGGTTTTCTCTGCAAATTTAATAGCTGTGCGCAGCTCGCTGGAATTTGCAGTATATTTATCTCAAGTCTATGGTTCATAATGCAGCTGTGCTCCCCACAATAAGTAATTTTGAGCACAGCCTTGCCTGTTCTCTCTGGATCGAGCAGCAGCTCGGTGAGAGCTGGGGAGCGGAGCCGGCTGCCCGAAGGTGCTGAAAGCCTTCGCGCATTTGCACACTCGCTAAAATATGGGCTGTGAAAGAGGGGAAAGGTGTCCCTGCGATTACCGGGGCTGGGTAAAGCCTGTGACAGGAGGATGAGAGAGCCAGCCCTGAGGATGCAGAGTGGCAGGAGAGGGTCTGTCCCTGCAGAGAAGGTCGGGGAAAGTCTTGGCGACTGAGAGGCGTTATCTGTAGCTCTACCGATCCGCAATACCGACATCTGGGGAATAGTTTGGGGAAGATTAATTCAACCCTTCTCAGCTTTTTTCCCCCCAAACAGGATGCTTTCAGCATCATCCGCTGACACCAAAACTGGTACCAACAGAACCGGCAGCGTCCTTTCTCAGAGGAACTCTCCTAAACCCAGCTGTAGCAGTAAAGGAAGGATAATATGCATTAAATTTAAAAATTGCTGGAGAGCAGCTCTTGCTCCTGGTGGAACGCAGCAGCAGCGTGTTGAAGATGACAGACCTGCGCAGCAGAACCAACTCGACAATGAGATTTTTCTAGAACTCTGTTTGTTTGCCACTGTTACTTTTTTGAAGAGCTTTTCGCCATGGGAGGCAGAGTTGCGTTTCGGCCGCGCCAAGTCGGTGGCTGGCCATGGAGAAGATGCTGAAGATGTTGAAGAGCCACTTGACTGCAGGAACACCTCGGGTACTCGACTCGGGGTCACAAAGCTGGTAATTACATCTTACAAGGAGAGAAAGTTGTCATTTCATAACGTTAGTTGTGAATCTCGGTGGAAAACAGCATTTTCCTCTGAGGGCGAGGATGACGGTAGAAGAAGGGTTGTTGGAGATGCCCCGTCCAGCCGCAGCAGCCTTCGCGTGTGACGAGAGCCCCGTCGCGCGCCCGCACGTGTGTGTATTTTGTAGGCAGCCTGATCAAAGATCATTCTCATTCTTCTGCCCGTGAAAAGATGTCTTGAAATTAACTCTGTAGACAGCAATTGCCTTTTCTTGCCAAGACGATTAGCGCAGATTGTCCATTCTCCTCCAAAGTTCGAGTGTGACGACGGAAGCTTTTCAAAGCGCTCTCTCCAGACTTCCAGACCAGATGCGCCGAGCTCCAGCAGCTCCTTCCAGCACGGCGTTGGCAGATCTCTTCTTTCTCCTTGAAGCCGATCTGCAGAGATATGGCAATTTGATTTTCTCCTTTTCCCTGCTCTGAAGGGCTCCTGTGTCACAACCCAGAGGCTCCTTGGTTCCTGTAGTCAGCCCGAAAAGATGGTTCGTGGTGTTTGTCTTAGAGGGATGCTCTCCGTGATGGATGCAGAGAGCATCAAAACTGCAGAGAAATAGTGAGGAGGAGACGAAGCTTTCAGAGTAGGTGGGTTGCGAGGTGTTTATAAACCCGCGGGATGTTTATCTCGGCTTTGCCTGGTTGTTTAACCACCACCTTCCTGTAGATAGCTGAATTAGAGAGATGAGTTTTGACATTCAAATTGCATTAATTCTGGGGATTGATCATCGTGTCACTTTTTCCTCCAGCACATGAACAAATAGTTTGTGTATGTGTGTGGGTTGTTTCCTTTGACTCCATTTATTAGGAGGGATGTTGTCGAAGTTTACGGGCTTACCTAGTGCAGGTATTATGCAAATCAATCTCTCTCGGAAAGCGCTTGTGTCAGGATGCTGTGGGCTGAATCAGCAGCGCGGCGGCTCCTGATGGAGTACCTGTGGCTCATGTTTTGGTAGGAATTGAAGAATCGTGCTCACAACCACAGATCTTTCATTTTTCCCTGTTTGCTCCCTGACTCTTCGCTCTGTCACGGTGTGCTACGAGTGGACAAAGAATTGATGTTAAATGTGACCGCTGCCTGTGAGCTACAGTCCCTGGGCTGTGTCCAGCTATGGGAACTTGTTGGAAACACAATTTCAGGTCCTGGACTCTGGATGCATGGATTCTGCGTGTCCTTACGTGTACCCTGCCTGTCGTTAACCCCAACCCCCAGGGAGAATGGATGCTATCCTGAGAGGGATCCTGATGCCAGCCTGGACCGAGATGCTGGGCTTCTGAAGCCATCAGTCAGCGGGCTTAATGTAGCAGCATCCCGGCAGGAAAAGCTTCAGTGGCTTGAACTTCAAATAATTTATTTCTAAATTACTTCTCCTGTAATTCTTATTAATTCAAATAGGCTTCTAAGCTGATGTAAAATTCAGTAAATGCAAGGAACAGTTTAATGAATTGAAAATAGGATTGAGTCTTTTAAAGTAAATGTAAAAAAATATGCTAGGAATAATTGCTTAGATGGAAATCGAATCTTAATAGCTTTGTTAATGATTTGTAGTGAATATCGCGTTTATGAGAACATATCAAGCTGATCCTTGTGCAAGAACCTTGTTTTGAATGGGTTTGATAAAATTATTCCCCAGAAGCGGTTGGTAACGTTTCATATTTTTGCTGGCGCTGCTTTGAGCTTGTTCCATGTTGACACCAGAGCTGTGGCTGGTGGGGATCGGTCTGGTGCTGCTTCTCCTGGCCGCCCAGTGCTCTTGTTTGGCAAATTGGCCATCAGAGTTCCAGAACATCTCTGCTTTGCTTTGCCGGTGGCTAGTAAAGCCCGCTTGCGGTTGCCCCCCATCCCTGACGCCTGCGTGGTTTCCCAGCAGACCAAAGTCCTTACCGAAGGGGACTCCAACGAGCGATCCCCTGGCTGGTGTCCCCGGGTCCTGCCTTGGCTCCATGCTCCTCCGGCTCGCTCTCTAAGCGGACAGATGCTCGGTAGCAATGGAAAAATAATAATTTCTGATTTTGCTATTTTGTCTTTGCTCTTCTCTGAAGGCGATGGGCAGAACCTGGTGACCGAGGACGTGACGGTGGTGGAGGGGGACGTCGCCACCATCAGCTGCCGGGTGAAGAACAGCGGGTCCTGCCTTGGCTCCATGCTCCTCCGGCTCGCTCTCTAAGCGGACAGATGCTCGGTAGCAATGGAAAAATAATAATTTCTGATTTTGCTATTTTGTCTTTGCTCTTCTCTGAAGGCGATGGGCAGAACCTGGTGACCGAGGACGTGACGGTGGTGGAGGGGGACGTCGCCACCATCAGCTGCCGGGTGAAGAACAGCGACGACTCGGTGATTCAGCTCCTGAATCCCAACAGGCAAACCATTTATTTCCGAGATTTCAGACGTAAGTTTCATCTTTCCTCCTTTGATAACAACTTTTCCTGCGCCTCGCTGGCACTCGGGAGAAAACGCTTGCGGAGATTTCTTCTTTTAATTTAGTGCTAGTCACTTAAAGTTTAGTCAATTCTTTAGAGGGTAGATGAGACAGGCAATCATAATCTTTCTCCTTAATAGAAACCTTCATGGCCCCCTTTAAAAGTCAGGCCGTCTTACTTTGCGGTAGGAATTGATTGGAGTAATTCAGGGCGAATTGCAATCGAGTGCCAAATATTTAGCTGACACAAACAAATTGAATAGAGCAACGCCGAGCCGCCGCAGTGTTCTTGGGGGCAATCTGCTTGGTTCCAAGAGTGACAATTTCCAGAGAACCCACGGTTCTTTATAAACCAACCCCAAACCTCCCGTCACCGCCGCGTCCAGCGAATGGGTCTGCCTTTGTTTGCTGCCGTGACAAAGCCCCGGAGCGTGGTGCCTGCGATGAACGCTGTAAATGGTCTGCAGGACGCGACGTGGTGGGACATCGTGCCCTGTGTTGTGGGGACAAACCCCATTCCCTTCCCAGGCGTGGTGTGATCTAACGATGTATGCGTGCCGGGGCTGGCTCCACTCACGCTGCTATCCGAGGCCCTTGGGCTGGGCTGGTAAGATTTAAAATGTTCGACTTCCAGATTCTGAAAAGAATTTGGGCAGCCGTTACTGGTCAGGAAACAAATTTTAAACTATACTTTACCCATTTTTTTTTTATCTTTCATGTTGCCATCTGATAATAAAAGGGTGTCCAAAGATGTGATACCGTGCCTGGCGATTTGCTTATGTTGATTCTTTGTGATGATACGAGAACAGAAGTATTTTTATAGATGCAGACATAGGGGTAAGAAGCGGGACAGAAGCCGCAGTCGGAACCCCTGGGGTGTGATGCTGCTGCTGTTTTTCTAGCCCTTGGGCTTTGCTGCGTGGTGGAAGGGGAGAGATGCTGCGTCTCTCGCGGTCACTGAGGGTGTGCTTTCTCCGCAGCGCTGAAGGACAGCAGGTTCCAGCTGGTGAACTTCTCCAACAGCGAGCTCCGAGTGTCCTTGACAAACGTCTCCATCTCCGATGAAGGACGGTACTTCTGCCAGCTCTACACCGATCCCCCCCAGGAAATCTATACCACCATCACGGTGCTGGGTAAGGACCGGGCGGGTGCTTGCGGTGAGCTGTGTGATCCCTGGGTGCACGGGGCAGCGGGAGAGCCCTAGCAGCGCCTTTGCCCATCTAAGCTATTCCTTAGGGGCAGATATTTCTAATGGCATCACTGGTGAACCTCCTGCCGTTGTGAAGATGCGTAAGTTTTTGCATGTCTGCCAGTTGACGTACGTATTCAGTGAAATCTGGAGTTCCGCTATTGGAAAGCGATAGCTTCCCATTAATTCTAGCAGAAATTTGTTTTGCATGGGAAAGGATGCGAGCTCTCTCCCTTGACATCCCGAGTTTGCTCATTTGCTTCGGAAGGGCCGTTGGCAGAGATGCTCGGGCACAGTCCTGCCGAGCTCTCGCCTTTCCTTCGCTCCCTGGGGCTTTGCCAGCCCGCGGGGCACGTGCCAGACCGACGCCGTTCCCGGTAACAGCTGCCGGTGCAGTCAGATTAGCCGCGGCTTTTACAGCTCTATGAACAGGAGACGCAGAATCACAGAGGGTGACACGGTGCGAGATCTCACTCCCTGATTAGTTTAAATCTTCCTCCTTGTATTTAATGAGATTTGGTTCCTGGGTTGTTACACGTTGTTTAAATGCTGTTTATAAGCAGTTCTACTAGAGCTATTAGGTTTATCGGCATCTTCAAAGTTTTAATGCGCTTTCTGGTGTGGGCAGGAATAGGGAGATCTCTTCCAGCTCTCCTCTCTGGTCATACACACGCAAAAATAATCCAGTGGGTTTCATTTCATGGCTAGCAATGCTAAGGCGGCGTTTGCAATGGTAGTACTGACTTTATTCCCCTGTAAGCCAGCATTGCCTGTCTCTTGAGTGGGAGACAAAGTGCAGGGTTTATTGTTTGGGTTTTTTTTTTTTTTTAACATGAATTGTGCTTCAGAATTCAGGGGAAAGCCTGTTTTCTTGCCCCGTGCTTCAGTTCTTTTTGCAGAAGATTTGCAAAGTGCCCACCAGTGCGTGCTGTCCCCACCTAAGGTCCCGTGGGCATCGCTCGCACTTCCAGATACCTTCTGCCAAAGAGCAGGTTTGCTGAGCTGCTTCCAACGCTGCTCGCTTGGGAGAGCGGAGGGAGCGGTTTGGAGGCATCCTGCTTTGGAGCCCGGCTGCGGAGAGCTTCGCGCTTTCGTCTCCCTGCCCAAGCACTGCGCTTCCCCCGGCTCTGCCGTTGGCTTTAATGTCGTCCGTGACACGATGTGCAGATTTATTCATGCTTAATTGGAACATGTGAAAGTCTCAAATATGTAGCCCGTTCTGTTCTTTTTAGAGAGAAGCCACAAGTGACTAATTAGTCCATTTGATCATCTGGATGGTATTTATACATATTTGTTCTTCATTAGCTCCGAGACGTGTTAGTCACATCTGAACTCTGCAGTTGCTTAACCATACTGAGCAGAGCAAGGCTGAGTTTCCTTTGGAAGTTCTGGGGTTTTTTCCCAAAACTTGCACAAACTCTTGTTCATTTTTTGTGGGTTTTTGCCTGATGAGCAGAAGAGACTTCTGTTTCCTGTGTCATCGTTTAGAAGCCCGTTTGCCAGTCCTTCAGGCTGTGCTGCGCTGGTGGTGACCCCCTGAAGCTCCAGCCTGTTTCTGAATGTCCCTGGGTTGGTTTCCATTGAGTGTAGCCTTCTAGCGTTGGGTTTTGCCGGAGTCTTGCTCTACGGAAGGTGCATGCCTGGGGAGGATGGCAAATAGCCATCCTCGGGGAGTTGCTGTACGATGCAAAGGTGATGGGCTCGTGCTCGGTGGCTCTTTGGGCGTCTTGATGTTCGCTGGCCAGCTTTCAGTCCTCACGGCTGAGGCTCAAAGCTGAACAGCAGGAGAGAAAAATTGCCGTGCGAGGTTGGAGGCACGGTAAGGCGCTGCTGAATGTCAGCTTTCGTGTTTCCTCTCCTTGTCAGAAGGCAGGAGACTAGTGATGGGACAAGAGGAAATGGCCTCAAGTTACGCCAGGGGAGGTTTAGGCTGGATATTAGGAAAAATTTCTTCACTGAAAGAGTCGTCAGACATTGGAACAGGCTGCCCAGGGAGGTGGTGGAGTCACCATCCCTGGAGGTGTTCAAGAAACGTGTAGATGTGGTGCTTAGGGACATGGGTTAGTGGGTTGGGTGGTGTTGGGTTGGACTTGATGATCCTTGAGGTCTTTTCCAACCTTAATGATTCTATGATTCTATGTGCGCGGAGTCAAGCGATATTTTTAAATAGCGACACACACAACCGAACCGCGCGGAAGAGTAACACTCTGCCCTGGAATGGTGCCTGCCTGGGAGTGAGGACAGAAAGTTACACATTTGATAAGTAATAATTTGCGAAACTACGATGATTATTATGTGGAGAGTGCAAGTGCTCACTCTGATTGCTGCGAAACCGCCCATCGAAGGATTTGATCGATTGAAAGATCAAATAAATGCTGGTGGCTAGTTGTCTCTAGTAGATTTTACGGGTTTTCCTGAAGGTCTGGTCTTGCATTAGTGATCCAAAAAAATATATTTTTTTTCACCCACTATGTGTTGTGTTGTCTTTTCCATTGTAGTCCCGCCACGGAATTTGGTGATTGATATCCAGAAAGAAATCGCCGTGGAGGGAGAGGAGATTGAGCTGAACTGCACTGCCATGGCCAGCAGACCAGCCACCACCATCAGATGGTTCAAAGGAAACAAGGAGCTAACCGGTAGATGTGTCCTCTCACTCACCTGCTTTTTCCAGATAGCTGAAATGGTTTATGTAACGCCGGGTATTTGGTCTCTTTTGCCAGTTTAAGGGGAAAAAAAAAAAAAAAGGGGGAAAAAAAAAAGAAAGGAGAAAAAAATAGAGTGGGCTGCTTTAAACGGCAGCTGAGGAACAAAGGAGTCTGTGGGCAGACAGATTGTTCTCCAGCACAGAAGGGCTGAGCTCCGTTCTGTCGTCGGCCAGACTCGAGTGCAGGGTTCTGGAGTCTCTCTGTAACCGCGGGTGACCTTGAGGAGCCCCAGAGCTGTGCGGTGCGTTTATTTCCGTGGTGGTTTCTCTAGCTTTCTGCCCTGGTTTGGGTACGAGTAGTGTCATTTGCGCTTGGGGCTGCACAGATTTTCGGTTCACCTTCACGTCTAGCTCTGTTGTTCCTCAAGCGCTTTCCCTGCGCTCAGTTGAATATTCATACGAGGTGGGTTTCTCCGGCTCCCCAAAGCCTGGCTGCTCCTGGAATTTGCCTGTTCCAGTGGCTGACTGTGATTGCATGTGACGTGCTGTTAGCTTAGGTCTGCACGTAGATGTGAGCTTGGCTGACAACACCTCTGTGCTTCACCCGCTCTGAGGCACTGACGGGCTCTCTGCACAAGTCCAGACTCATTATTTCAAATCCACCCCCTGCAAGGACAAGGTACAATCCTCTCCATAAGTTCAGCACCTCTGAGCATCCGAGCAGGACACGTGCTGAGAGTACGCTGATGAAGGTGGAACGACGACCTGCTGCCATGCCAAGTGGAGCCCCCCTGGTTGCCAGCACAGGTTGTCACCCATGCAGTGTCTGGACCTTCTGCTGAGCCCTTTCCGCGGCTCCAGAACGTCCAGAGAGGCAGGGCGAGTCAGCGTGCTAGAAACCTGGGAGAGCTGCAGCTGATGGGATGATCCTACAGACCTTCGACTCCAAAGAGCCACCAAGAAGCAAAAAAATGGGCATGTGAGGCAAAAAAAGGCAAAAAGAACGGAAAAAACCCCAGTGAGAGTGCTCTCATCGTCACCAGCAAGTATTCCAGATCCTGGTGAGATGCCAAAACAGCTGCCTGAACTGGGTCCTGCCCCTCAGAACCCGATGGAGCCCAGAGCCAGCCTGGAAACCCCTCTGGAACCACAGGGCGATCCAGAACTTTCAAGCTAGCTAGAATGTAGTCTAGAACCTGCTCTAGATCTTTCAAGCGAGCTAGAACCCGCTCTATAACTTTCACGTGAGCTAGAACCTGCTCTAGTACTTTCAAGAGAGCCAGAACATGATCTGGAAGTTGCTCTAGATCTTTCAGGCAAGCTTGAACGTTACCTAGAACCTGCTCTGGAACCATAGAGCGAGCTAGGACCTGCTCTAGAGCCACCTCCCTGCCAAGCCCCCAACTCCACACTCTGCTGGCTCCTGTTTTCCATCTCCCGACACCCCCAAGTCCTTCTCCTCAGGCCTGCCCTCCAGCCG